TAGGATAGATTTTTCTCTACTGGATATTGAGATGATTTCAGGATGAAATATAAGGGGCCAAATTAATCACTTCCCAGTGCTGATGCTATGTGTCTGGTGGTGAGTTCAGCTTTGCTTTTTATGCTTTTATTAGGTTGGCCACAACCTACTAAGAATTGAGATGGGTTGTTGAAGTTCCAGTACTGAAAAAGCATGGCCATGATGTTCAAGACTCATATTTTTCCCCCTTTTTAAATATGGCAGCATCTTTATTTGCCTGCCTTGATCAAATTGTATTTGCCTTGCTAGAAAGCTGTAGCCAGTGGTTCTCCTAAAGCAGCTCATCAACTCTGGTGCCAGTGAAATGCAACTGCAGCTTCTCCCAAGCTTTTTGGATGACTTCACTCTTTTTTTCAAGTTTCCTGGATACTGCAGGTCTTGCCAGTGGTTCAGCTATGTGCATTTTAAAGTAAACTCGTGTCCAGCAGATACAGCCTCATGTCTGTCTTTTTAACTGGGTGTCAGTTTTAGTCTGGGAAATCTGTTCCTGTGTGTGTCATCCTGCCTGGAGTTCTTACCAGCAGCATTTGCAGTGAGTGTGTGGGCTTTTGCTTATCGACTCAGTGTACTTCTGGCATCTCACCCTTGTTAAGTACAACCTGGAAAATCGTCTGACAGTAAGGAGACATAGCACAATAGGGCTTTGTAGAGATTAAAAGCTTCCTTCTATCCCTTTTCCAACTGATTTTTCCAAGACCCATCGAATAAGAGAGGATGGTTTCAGTGGCAAGTTGGCTGCTCTTTGAAGCAATCAACTTTTCCGCTCCCTGAAGTTTTCGGTGCTTGTAACCTGCCTTCCATTTCAGCTTGACTTTGAAGACGGTATTTGGACCCTTTCCCCTGTCAGGTTTTAGATCGGTGGACCAGACTTTTCACAGTAACCACCAAATTATATGGTTTCCCCAAACAGTTTCTTGAGTGTTTCCCATGGAAATCCTCGGAAAAGTCCTGTGCATACAGAATACTTCTCTTCAAGTAGGTATTTGTACCATGCTCATTGCTGTGGTTTCTGTATACCCATGTGTTTTTTCACAAACTTGATACAGTTTTCGAGGTGCATCTTTTGTCACTGATTGTACCAAACTATGCAAGACTTTCCTAAGACTGAATCCCTCCAGGTATGACACTGTGGACTCCTTTCCATGGCTTCTCTAGGATGAGCAGCCTGCCTCCTATTCGTACAGAAACATGCCTTTACTTAGGTAGAACTGGCCAGTGTCCCAGGTAGCTTTCCTAGCTACTGCGTGCGGGTGATAAAATAAATGCTGTCTCCTTTTAGTTTAGCCTCTGAATGCAGGGATGCCTTTGTTAGAATTACCTTGTGCTGTCACTGCCAAGCTACTGTGAATCTAATTACTTTTTCTTTTGTCTGTCTTTCTCCTTTTCCTGTCTTTCTTGTTTTTGTGTTGTTCCTTTTGCCTCCTGTAGTACAAATCTGTGTTTAGGTCCTACTCGCAGGACTTTGTGCCTCACAACCAAGCTTCCATCCCTCCTTTTCTTTCTTCTGCCTCCTCCTGCATCTCCACCACCCCACCTTTTCCACCTGTCCATCCATCTCAGAGCTCTGACCTAGC